GAGGAGTTCAGAACAAAGCATTGCTGTTCGACTTTATTTGACCCCAAATGGATATTTAAATGTGAAAAAGAAGGATTTAAAAGCATCATGTTTCCTTTAATAAARCATTCTTATTTGGGGCAAATTCATTACATTTGTGACTTTTGTCATTTGTGAGTTTGTCAGGAATAAAACAACTTGATACCAACAAGGTGGTTCTCTAGCTAAAATGATGAATATGCTTTTCCTTCACCCTCACTCACCTCTCAGCCTCCACGCCGTGAAGCGAGTCRTTCATTCTCTCATGTCTAGCCCTTCTCGCCGCTCCGAGTTCTCCCCGTTAACATCTTGTTTAAATCGTGTCGTTATTATCYTTCTCACCTCCCCTCTCTGCCGTCCTTGTCTTCACCTCATTCACTCTCTTGTTTTATAAGTCACCTTTCATCTCTGTTCTCTCCCTGTGCCACTTCTCAACAACTTCATAATATCCCCCCTCCTCCTCCTCTAAGTCGTTTACTTCCCATTCACTCCATCTCTTTCCTCCTTTCTTCTCCGTCTAATGCCTTTTCATTCATTCGCTCCACCTCTCTATTTGCTCTTAATAGCCCGCTGTTTCTCTACCTGAGATATTGAAGCCATAAAGACAGGTGTTCAAAAGAAATCAGGGCAAGCAAATCTGTTTTATATGCCTCCTGGCTTTATTCCCTGGAATGCAGATAGAAGAGGAAGGAGAGCAAAAACTGTACTTTGATATTTAATTCTCAGACTACTGTGGATGGGAGGAAAAAAGCTAGGTTAGGTTAAAACCTTTTTGTCTACAACACTTGAAACGTGAGCACTTCAACTCAGACTGTTGGATTTAATGCATTTAGTTTTCACATTTTCTTTTACTTTACTGGAGTAAAGTGTCACTTAGGGTGTATTCACACCTGTTTAGTCCACTTTAATCAAACTCTAGTTTGTTTGCTTGGGAAGTCCGGTTCGTTTGGGGAGGTGTTATTTTTATTTATTTATTTATTTTTTTTTTCTGAGCATGCATGAATATACAATATCTCTCCAATGGAATGTTTGAAAGTGACTGTGGAGGACCACAGACCCGACCCGTAAAGCCCGAAGCCAACGTAAGGGAGACATTTGGGGAGGTGTTWRCGCGTAATTGAACTCTGATTCGGATCAAAAAAGTGAACACTAGTCTGCCTGAAAAACTAGGGGTATATTCAGACCTGACAATTTGGCCTGCTTTAAACGAACCRGAGTTCGTTTCCAGCGTTGGTCTGGACTTCTTGTGCAGGTGTGAATACACTCATGCGAACTCTGGTGCTGAGCAAAAAACCGGACCGAGACCTGCTTTTTGAGGTGGTCTCGGTTTGTTTCCAAACGAACTCTGGTGCGGTTCGCTTTAGTTCACCTTTGGTGTGAATGCAGACCGGACTTTAACCGAACCAACTGCATAAAACATGCGCCTTTTTGGGCTTCACAGGCCACCGTTGCTTAGCTAAATGAACTGAAATCATACAGCGGGTAAAATAAGTATTGAACACGTCACCATTTTTCTCAGTAAATATATTACTAGAGGTGCTAATGACATGAAATTTTCACCAGATGTTGGAACCCAAGTGATCCATACAGTGACATTCTTGATAAAAATCTGCTTCCATCTACCAGGATGATGAAGATGAAACGTGGCTGGACATTTCAGCAAGACATTGGGCCTCATGCAAGAACATGTTCGTATTTTTTATCCTAAATTTCTCTTACTTTTGTTCGTACAAAGGGTTCGTACGAACATGTCACGTCAGATTCAACAAACTCTTCTATCTTCAGGAAACGTGCGTAAATGAGCTGCGTAAATTACACCTGATCGTATCCAGCTGCTCGTGCACGCGAGAGGAGATTAGCATAATTACCACCTCAAATACACCATATAAGGCTATGATTCCTGCCTCAGATATCAGGAAGTGTCCATTCATGAAAATGGCAGCGAAAAAAAAGAAAAACTGTACGAGTTCAGAGATTGAAGTCCGTCTGTCAGAGATCCAGAAAAGAAAATCTGTTATTTTTAGCAGCTCAGCTGTGGAATAAAAAGAGCTGCTAAAAGTATAAACAACTGTGTTAAATCATTTTCATTTATTCAGAAGACACAGCGCTGCGCACCATAACCCCCCACCCCCCACACCCAGCGCGCTGTGCGGCGCAGGTGGTCTCAGATGCGGTTCTGAAATAAGCATTTTAAAATGTTTTTAAAATAAGTCTGGCACTTTGGAGAAAATCCAGAACTTGATCATATATCCCCTCTGGTCTGGGAACGTCTTGAGTCCCCCAGGACGAGCTGGAAGGTGTAGCAGGGGAGAGGGGGGTCTCTCTGCTGCTGCCCCCGCACCCGATCCCGGATTAGCGGCGGAAAACGGACGAACGGACAATTTATATTGTTAGTCTAAATTATTACATTTAAAATTATAACTCTAATTCAAGCAGAATAGCCTATTGTCAACATAATTATGGAGTGTGATTTATTTTCAACTCAAAATATCTTCAAACTAACGAAATATAAAGTTATTAGTGAAGAAAACCCGTCTGGATAACAGCAGACTGGCTGTTCGTAAAATGTACGACAGGTCTGGACCACTCGTAAATTTTGTTCGTATCTGAAAAAAATCTTAGAATACGAAAACATTGGTGAATGCCACAAATTCTCCTAAATCACTCGTACGCACAACTTAAGAACAAATCTGTGCGTACGAACGGTTCTTGCATGAGGCCCAATGAGCCCAAACACAAAGCCAAGGAAACTCTCAGTTTGTTTCAGAGAAAGAAACTAAAGCTGCTGGAATGGCCCAGCCAATCACCTGACCTGAATCCAACAGAAAATCTATGGAAAGAACTAAAGATCAGAGTTCATAGAAGAGGTCCACGAAACCTTCAAGATTTGAAGACTGTTTGTGGAAGAATGGACCAAAATCACACCTGAGCAATGCATGCCACTAGTTTCTCCATACAGGAGGCGTCTTGAAGCTGTCATTGACAACAAAGGCTTTTGTACAAAGTATTAGATAAATTTCAGTAAGTGTGTTCAATACTTTTTCCCTGTGCCATTCCACATTATTACAAATAACTTCATTTCTGGACATTTATGGTTTGATTTCTTTGTATGTATGGATCACTTGGGTTGTTACCGACATCTGGTGAAAATTTCATGTCATTAGCACCTCTAGTAATATATTTACTGAGAAAAATGGTGACGTGTTCAAAACTTATTTTACCCGCTGTACCTTTTTTGTCGTCTCCTGTTAGCAGCTCTGCTGGCAGCATGTTGTGGGTCAGAACAGGCAAAGTACCTCGTCTCCTTTGGGTTGCGGGACACATTTACTGAAGTCGTCCCAAAATTAGAATTTCACCACGAAACCACCATTAAATTAGCTGCTTTTGACATTTTAAATGATATTGCAGTTGTACTATTAGCAAAAATATGCGCTTCAGAGCCGCAGCACGCAGGACTTCCTTGTTTGCTTCTGGGCCTGTGCGCTCAGTCCTGCCCCCATCCTTTTCTGTCCAGCGGGAGCAATGACCGTGACCCTCGTGGCTTTGTTTACAAGTTATAGTTCGTTTGTAAAAAAGCACAATGTAAATGCAAACTGCACCAAATGAAAAAAATAAAGTCCACTTTTGTTCCGGACCAAACAAGCAGAGCAAAGACCTTTCCTGGTGTGAATACACCCTAGGTCTTGGTTCGGTTTAGGTCTTGGTTCGCTTAAAGTGAACTCTGGTGCGTTACAAATGCATGTGTGAACGCCAAGCGGACCGGAGACCACTCTAAAAGCAGGAAGCGGACTATAACGCAGGTCRTTCTGAGTAATAACAGAAACAATATTCTCCACCTCATCTTCCACTCATGCTGAGCTCATTGAAGACTATTTGTTTGTCACATTCGCCAAAAACAAAAAAGTAAATCCTACAACCAAAAAAATCTGACCTTACTCCATGTTTGTTTACATTTTGTGAAGAAGGAAGTTGCGCTCAGTGTCTTCTTCAGGGGTTTTCGTGTTGATTCCTTCAGTGGTTCTTGATGCAGCGCCACCACAGGCGAGGGAGGGAACAGATTGTTCGAAGGGTTTAGTTTGTTTGACAGAGTACAGTGTGAATGGTAACAGCGCCAAATGAAAATGCTTTGGTCACCAATCAAACCGAGTCAACTGGGACTATCAGTTGTGAATACAACCTTATTTATTTTACAAATATGTGTGAATTATTTGTACTGAGTTAAGAACTTTATTTTTTTGAATTTATTCATTTTTAAACCTACTTATTAACAAGTTTCCCAGTCACCTAAATAGCCCAATTTCTGTATGTATCTGCACATGAATGCAGCACTAATGTGTGTTGATGTTGGAGGTTTAGTCTGATCCATTTAGAAGTTCCACAGCAGCTGGATTCCTCCACCGAATGGACTGGGATTTTCTCTAAGAGATATTGTGTTTATATGTATGTGTGTGTGTGTGCGTGCGTGCGCGCGCGAGATTGTATGAGGAAAAGAAAGAAGTGAATAAGTTTAGAAGAGAAAATGAGATGGAGAGGGTTAAAGAGAGAACTGGTGAGAAACAGAAGTGGGAAAGATTGAACTGTCAGCAGCTTGGATTAATCTTTTTTTTTTTCAATATGGAGATGAGATGCACTGCTCTTCATGTGAAACCGTGTGTATGTGTGTGTTGACGTGTGCTAAAGTGAGACATAATGTTTTGAAGTAACCTAATCTTGGATTTTTAGCCCCAACAAACCTCAGAAGGCCTAAATCCCCAATAACTAGCCTTTGTTGATCTTAAATTACCCCTGCATCACAAACACACTCACACACATGGGAGAAGAGGGGCTTATGGGTGTGCATTGCACATTAGGCTTACAGTTTTGAAGTTTGTTCCTACTTTAGGCAGGGAAATGTAGTGTATAATTTAGGCTGCTGAACTTAAAAGGTACCAAAAACCTTGTGATTTATACCCACAAACTAACCATTTGTTTTTCTTTGGCAGATGCCAGCCAGAGATCAYCGTGCGACACCGAGGTACGAAGAGGTGGAACGTCAGTATGCCTCCTTACCAAGGTATTGCATTGTTTCTTTATTTTTTGAGGGTTCATTAAAACAGAACTTCCTTTGTTCTAACTTGTTTGTTTTCTCCTCTTCGTCTAATTWAATCTTTTGTCTCCCGACTGTCTCTGGAGGCCACATCTCGGACTAGAACTCACCTTACCTCCACTCTGGGGAAAACACACTCAGACAGGGCTGAAAACTGATCCCTAATTCCTTAAGTCTGCTCCCCCCATCAAAAACTTTCTTCGGCTCATGTCTTGTCAGATGTTCTCAGTCTTTGTGAATGCACCATGGACATTTAACAAGCCAGAAATCAGGAAAGAAAAAGATAAATTTGGTGATATTTGACATCTAACAAGAAAAGAAAACCACTCATCATTTATGTTGATTTTTTTTTCTTCTTGGACATGAAATATTACAAACACATGGATAGCAGCCTTTTGAGTGTATTAATCAACTCTTGAAATAATATATTTCTCACRTTTTCAATGTGATCAGATAAATATTTTGTTCCTAAATGCACACAGCTGTTTAAAACTTACTATGAATGTTATTGATAGTGGCACAGAATCCTCTAAACATCACGTTTTTAGTTTATCTTTTTTTTATTTCTAACTTTTACACTTTGTTTTTCCTCGGCTAAAAAAAAGTCACCTTTCTTTAAAGTAGGGTTGGGCAAGATTATTTTTTGGCATGATTAATGCGAATAATGACGCCAGGCAGACTGACTGGAGATTTCCCCGGTCGGTCCGCTCGGTGCTCCTCTGTGCTTCAAATATGACGAACATTTAAAAAAAAAAGTTCTGTAATTTATTTATCATAACTCCAGTTTTACTGGGCCTATCAACATAATATAAAAACTGATGTAAAGTTTGAAGTCTGTGCTTTTGACGCAATTTGGAGAAAAGTTTTACAGAATGCAGATCTTTCCCATTTTGTCTAAATTAAGTGATAATTTATTTAACATAAACCATTCTTCTGTTGTAAACATGTGATTTAGATCATAACCTGAACAAAAGAAGTAGTGTCATCCGCAAATAAAACACACCTGAACAACTTTGACACATTTACCAGGTCATTAACATATAAAAGAAACAATTTAGGACCAAGCACAGAGCCCTGTGGGACACCGCAAGTAATTACATCAAAAACCGAACGTACATCATTTATTTGTACAAACTGTTTTCTATTTGCCAAATAACTTGACACCCATTGTGAAGCCAAATCTCTCGCACCATAGTTGTTTAATTTGCTGATAAGAATGCTGTGGTCAATAGAGTCAAAGGCTTTCTTTAAATCAATTGTTATCAGCTAAATACCTCAATTAATTGTGCTTATTTTTTGGCCATTATTGCCCAACCCTACTCTAAAGTCACTTTTTTATTCCATTGTCTTGTTTTTTGAAACATTTAATTTCCCGTCCAGTCACCACACGATCTTTTTGCTTTCTTTCACATCTAAACCTTCAACTAATATTTAAAATGAATTATTTCGAGAAATGTAAAAACTGAATGACTAGCTTCCTCTCATCTCATTTGACTTTGCCTCTAACCACCAACACCTCAGCTGACTAACAAATGCTTGTTTTGTTTGTGTCTGTCAGTGCGAGTGAGTCTGTAAGTTCAGCTGAAGAACAGAAGTTTAGAACATTAGAAAGTTTATGGCCGGGTTCCTAACCCTGTTAAAATGGTGCGAGATGACCGTTTCACACCTCTCTTGTCTGTGTTTGTGTGTGTCCAAGATAAAGAGGGAGGCTTTCTGTGTGTGGGTGATGACTTTGGCAGATGGGGGCGAGAACTGTGATGATAGTTTTGAGGTCTGGCTTTGGTATCTGGAAAGCCTTGGGAGGTTGGACACTTTCACACATGTTGGCATACAGTACATTCTTGTTCTGTTTCCACTTAAAGACGTGCACTTTCACTTGTAAATACCGTGCCAATTGCAAATGTATGCATCGGTATTTGAAAAGGTTCCCTATGTGAGTCTGTACTGCATCATTAACAGTTACATGGGCATACTTCACTATCATATAAAAAAATAAGCCTGAAAATCTTCCCTCTCTAAACAGAGACCTTTTTGTGTTACACTTGTTAAATAATTCATTTAAGAGTAAAAAAATCTGGAGATTGGAATGCCTTCTAAATCAGAAAACTGCTTTCCCCTTCAGAAATGGATAATAGTTTTATACAGTTTCTTGTGCTGCCAAGACTCCGATGGGCRATGCCAAGAATTTTTTGCAAGCCTTGCACTTTATTCTAAAACAGCCATTTCTGCAATGACCACACCGGCCTGAAAACGAAGCAATTACTGTGTATTCATTTCAATGTATTTATATGGCCTCATTACAGAACAAAAGTAATCTTAGGAGACTGTACAGGAGAAAAGAAACTGTTTGATAGAAGAAAGTTTTGTCTTTTCTGACATTATGAGCCAAAATTCTTATTTTTCTTTATTTTTATTCTGTCAGAAAAGGCAAAGAAGGATAACAGTTTGAAACCACATCCAGAGCATTGACCTTATGAAAACATATTCTTTTTCCAGCAGACTAGAAATAGCTGGCAGGCTGTGAGTATCTAGTGCCTGCCTGTTTTGTGAGCTTTCATCGGCAGACTCGCCTTGTGTTGTAAGTGTTACTTGGAGGTTGTGTGTTTCTTTTATTTCCAAGCAAGTCCAGAAATAGCTGCAGGGCTGCTTAATCAGGTGTACTGTATGTTTGACTCAACATCAGTTAACTCGAGCTTCGAATACCTTTTTTTGTGTGTGTGTGTGTGTGTGTGTGTAAAGGTGTGTGAGTTTGTCAGAGTGTGTGTGTCTGCGAGATGGAAGATTTTGATGGCTCTAAAATTAAAACATAACCTTGCAGTCGGTGATGTTTCACTGCTTAAAGTTCAAACATTTCACCAAACAATCTGTCAGTAAATATCATGGCTTAAAAAAGATGGAAATTTGTTCAGGATATGTTAAATATTTTACTGTCTCATCATATACCATTCATTGTTTAGGTAATAAAAAATTACCAAAAAGGATGCCAGGTGCATGATCTCTAGCCTGTAAACAGGCATTTAGCCAGAGGAGCTTCTTCAGTTTTCTGACTCCTTCATACAGCTGGCAACGCCTTGGGATTGCTGACAGTTGTTTTTATTTTTAATTTTTTAACACTATGCCAATTTTAATGTAAACATCCAGTAACAGGGGTTGTTATATCATTATATTAGTTTAAACCGGTCTCCAACAATATTATCGTTTATTGCGATAATTTCTGATACAATTTATCATCCAGTAAAATTATGTATTGTGACAGGCCTAAGATTGGTTGCTTTTGTTTTTTGTTTGGTTTGATTTGGTTTGTTTTTTAGGGTGTATTCACACCAGGAAAGTCCTTTGGTCCACTTGTATGGTTTCATTTAATGTGGTTTGCATTCACATTGTGCTTTTTGAAAGTGGACTATAATTTATAAATAAAGCCACACAGGTGACGGTCATTGCTCCCGTTGGAAAGGGCTGCGCGATAAATGCAGTAGACGGTAGAAAYGGTATGAAGTTGGCTTAAGGTAGAAATTTACGCTCGACCGTCCTGTCCTCAGTTGTCATCGCACATGTGTCAACAAGGCTGCGAGTGCAGAGACAACTGAGGAGAAGTTCGAAATATAATGAAGAAATTATAGCATTTTAAAACACGTATGGAGAGAATAAATCCTCAAAATTTCCCCCTCCCGCTGCAGAAAAGTTACGTCGTGTCGCGGGATCATTTCATCCCTCTCCTCTCCTCTCGCTGCACGTCGCACAGAGCGAAGCTTTAGCAACTGTGGTTTTTCACACCCAATTGTCAGAGAAAAAAATGTTTTTTATGTATTGTTACCCACAGAGATGATTTTTAAAAAAAGATGTGGACGTTCGTTCAGTCATAAATCCATCTTGCTAATGTAAAGTCGGCTTCTGCTCTGTTGATGAAGATGATGAAGATGAGCGCGTAGCAGAGCAGCAGCTGATAAGTTCAGCAGGCAGAAGCTCATTGTTTTGCAGGCAGATATTAAAACAAAAATTTTGGGTTTAATTAAAATTACAGTTTTCTGCAAAAAAAGCTCTAAAAATTACAATATCTTTACTTTTTATGACAATTTTCTGCTGTGATATATACTGTTACCGTGAAGGGATTCAATTTATACCGTGATATGAATTTGAGGTTATACCGCCCAGCCCTACCATTGGACAGAAATGATGGGGGCAGGACAAAGTACAGACCCAGAAATAAAGATGGTTCTGTTAATCTAACTTACTATTAAGAATATCATAAAATATCATTCAGTGGCGGTTTCGCAATGATATACTTATAATTTTGGGACAGTGTTGTCAAATGCAAACTAAAGAAGAAAAGATGCTCCACATTCTCTGACCCACAGCGGCTCAGTGTTTGTAGCGTGTTAGCATTAGCAACACTGGAAGGCTAATGTTGCTTAGCTATGGTGGCCCCCAAAGTCCAAAAAGGCACATGTTTCAAATTCTCGGAGTCATGATGTCATTTAGTCACGTGATTTCAATCTCCATTTTTTAAAGGGGGAAAACTCAATGTGAGACTCTGTTACAAACTGTGTCAAAAGTAGAGACTTCAAACTACACAGCTCTTTTAAAATTGTGTCGATAGGTCAAGAGAAGAAAACCAGAGTTAACGATAAATAGCATATCTTACTATTTTTTTCTGAAAATGAACGCTTTATTTTGAAGCGCGTTGCAGCTTAAGGGAGCAGGAAACACAGTAATCTAATGGAAAAAACACTGCTGTCCATCGTCAGTCTCATCTTTCTCTTAAACCAAAAACATATAACCCCCCAGATCTCCTTTTTGACTGAGGCTCAAAGTTATCTGACAAGCCAAAAAAAATCTACAGGAAGAAGAAAATAAAAAGAGGTGAAATTTGAATGGAGATTGGCGGCAATGAAGAGCCGGTGAGAGCAGGACTWTATTAATTAGATCTGTGACYTTTAACATGTTTGGATTTTATAGTTACTGTGYAG